CTTCCGTGTCAGCTAGCTTGAGAAAAAAACAAATTGTGCGCAGAAACAGCTCTGGAGGTTTAAAACAAGTGAAGGAAGGCGGCCAGCAGTGCAACCTTTCACACTTCATCTCTGCATCCTTTGATCTTTCAAAGATATGCCACATGGATTTTAACAAACAAGCCACATGACCATCCATATTAATAAAATGTTTGACTTGAAGTCATAGTTTGAAGGGTCCCATGCAATATGTCATTATCAGGAGAAATCCACAGCGACTGAACAACAATATACCATCTTCCAGATATCCTAGTGAGAAAGACAATAAATGCAGGCAACAGGTTGACAGTTAAAGTTGTTATCTTTAATGAAATGACTTTGGAAATAGCATCAATTTCCATGACACCAACATTTTGGGAGTCCCATAAAATGCAGTTACATTCGAATGCCAGTATTTCAGGCAGATCTCCATTCACATGGCAAATAGGATCAAGAAAGCAACCATCAGACAGAAGAGACCCATGGCTTCAGACAGGGCGAATCCCAGGATAGCGTATGAGAACAGCTGCTGCTTCAGAGAAGGATTTCTAAAAGAAAGTGAAGGTGTTTTAAGACCTTTTTATCTTTACAATTAAGATGTTTCTCATACAATCTAACCTCATACTTCCTTGCTACAGAACAGGAAACCCCAATAAATCCAAGCAGAACTATTTTTTTGCAAGGATTTCACTCAAGACAAATGAGTTGGCAATTAAGGCTAGATTCAGGTTACACGGATGGTACAGGGGTTTTCCAAATGACCAGTTTTTGTGACTATGCTCATATATACTTTTGAATTTGGCTTCTCTACATCCTCCCATGCAGAAACTATCAGCACTATGCTTTGGACATTTATTTCACATCTGTGACACGAGAACTATATTCTAAGGAAGTTTATAATGTTTTAAGTGGCTCAAGACAAATACAGGAACTGAAATCACTTAGAGCAGGGAAGGGGGGAAGAAATTTACAGCAATTTCTTGCAAAAATGCAATGAATATACTTTCAAGAAATGAAAGAAAAAATATTCAACTTAAAACTATGAAGTAATGTTCTACTACTTCTTATTGACTTGTTCATGCCAAATCCCAAAACCAATGCATTAATTTTGTATTGAAAATACTTGTTTCTTCAATGGAAAATGAACCTGTCTTTGGTAGGGCTTAAAAATCTTTGTTAATAAGACTTAAGTCTTAACTCGTTGAAGATTAATGAAGAACATGAAACCTTTTTTATGCCTGTATCAGTTCTGATCTTCCACGATGCCATGTGAACTATTTATATTATAGGAGTACTGCAAAATTATGTGGAAAGTCATCCCTACTACAAAATCCCCACCCTCACTCTCTTCAGATCTCTAGAAGGAATAACTCATTTGATAAATTATATAATCTGAGTGCAAAGATGAATGTGTTAGAAAACCGAATTAAACATCCATTTATTAACAATAATCCTAACTATGAAGACTAAACCACACAGACTCACATTCCTTATCACCGGTTTTCAGACCAGCTTTCTCTAAGACTTTTCCCCTCACATGGGAAGACCCAGGATGGATTTTTAATTCAGTTTTAGGCTTGAACGCTGAAACACTGAGCTTCAGTGACTGAAAGACCAACCAAATCTAAAGGTGCAATTTCTTTCATGGCTCTCCTCCAGGCAGAGTGTACAAAGTTCTGAATTTAACAGAGCCATCCTGATAAATACAGTACAGTTTCATATGATTCTATTCAGCCGTGTTTATCAGTAACAGTAATCATTAACAGAATTTATTACAGTGTCAACACCCTTACTACAACTTGGCTGATCTTGGGGTTCTGTCTGAAGACACATCTGCATATAACTTAGGACTTTTAAAAGAGAGAGAGATGGATTACCTGGCATAACCAATGATTAGACTACCGAAGACTGTTCCAATACCAGCACCAGAACCAGCCACACCTACTGTGGCTGCACCAGCACCAATGAATTTGGCAGCAGTGTCAATGTCCCTGCTGATAGCACTAGTCTGGAATTCTCTAAGTGCTAGTCGGGAGACAGTATTTTGGGCCCCATTAACTGTTGAGTTGCCCTAAGGAAACAAAACAAAACAAGAAAAAGCATTATATTCAGACACAAGACCATGGGGTAGTGTTATTATCCAGTATTAAAAGTTGTATTAGATCCAATGTCTAGCTCTTCTCCCAAGTCATGACAGTGTAAGAGTTAAAAACTTCAGAATGTCACCTGTTCCACCTGAAAGCATCAACTTTAAATGTGAAAGACTTCTCAGGGGAAACAGCAAGACAGCAACACATTATTAGGTGTTTGACTTAATTTAACTTTCACAGTATAGGTATTTGAGTTAGTACAAGTGAACTCTAGGTTGAGGACATTTAGGCTCACCAGGTAATTTAAGAAGATACAGAATTTTGTTTATAAGGTACCTCTCCATTCTTGACCTCTGGCCTAGACAACACAGATGCCGAAATTGGTCTGTACAAGACTCTTGATCCAGCACGGATCTGCAAGAGGAGGGAAAAAACTATAAAAGAAGAAACATTTGATCACAGCTGTTCTTTACAATAGTCTGTAAGATTGTAAGGCTATTAGCCTCTAAACCATTTGTCTTCCTTGAAAGATGGCCATCTCTGCACAGCTGGATATAGAATCAATGGTACAGAAGCAAGCTCTGTCACACAATCCGACAGCATCGTTCTCAGCAGATGTTACTGCAAATAGCCAGGTCATTCAACAACTCTGCACATGCATTATGCTGACAGACAATGCACCAAAACAGCAACAAAAAGGCCCAACAGATCAGCAGGCAGTGATGTGCGTTTTGAAATGAAAAAATGAAAGCCTTCAAAATTAATTCCAAAATTGTTAAATGCACAGGTGTAATCCCGACTTTTAAATCTGGCGAAGCACAAATGAATGAATCCTCTTTCACAAGAGGCCTGCATGTGTCCTTGGGCTCCCGGCAGCGTAAGGTCATATCGGCCCTTGCACAAAGCTCTTCCTGCAGGGCAAACCTGTACCTGCACCATGCAAAACCAGACGTTCTGCAGACCAGAGGCAACGTTTTTATGCAGGACAGTCTCTTGTCTCCGCAAGGGCAAAAAGTCCTGGCCTTGCACAGGACAAGCAACAGGCTGGAGTTTGACCTACAGCGAGGCGCTGAGCGCAGCAGGCCCAAGAGCTGTCGGCTGGGCTGCCCTCCCCCTCCGCCGCCGTGCGCGGAGGCCCCTCACCTTGGCACTGGGCCGCGGTGCCCGCCAAGGGGGCGGGAAGGAGAACGCGGCCCCGCCGCAGCATGACCGCCCCTCCCTCGCCCCTCCGCACCGGGGCGGGGGGCTCTCGCTACGCGCTCGTCCCGAGGTCCCGCCGTGGGGCCCGCAGGTCCGCCCGCCCCGCGGGCGCCCCGCCGCCGCCACGGCCCCCGCCACCGCCCGGGGCGCGGCTGCTGAGGAGGCGCGGGCGCCCCCGCGGGCCCCCACTCACCAGGGAGGGGGAGGCGGCGAGCTTGGCGCAAGCGAACATCTTAGCGGGCGGCGTCCCGGTAGTCGCGATCCGGCGTCTCTGCGGAGAGAGGGAGAGGGTGATGGCGCGGCGGGCGGGGGCGGCGATGGGCACGGATGGCGCGGATGGCGGGGATGGCGCAGCGCTCACCGCGCGGGGCTCACCGTGCGGCTCCGGGCTCGGCCGAGGGCGGGCGGGCTGGGCTGCGCTGCGCAGGCGCGGCGGGGCCGGGCGGCGGAAGGGGCGGTGCGCGCCCAAGGTCACTTTGTGCCGGCGCCATTGGCGGTCGCGGGGGGCGTGGAGCGCGCGGGCGCGCGCGCGCCGCTGCTCCCGCGCAGCCGCAGTCGTACAGCGCCCGCCGGGGGCGGGGCAGGGGCGGGGCAGGGGCGGGGCAGGGGGCGGGGCGAGCGCTGAGGGCGGGGGCGGTGTCGTGGTGTGAGGGACACGGTGTCGCGATGTGAGGGACACGGTGTGGTGACGTCAGTGACACGGTGTCGCGATGTGAGGGACACGGTGTCGCGGTGTGAGGGACACGGTGTCGCGGTGTTAGTGGCAGGGTGTCTCGGTGCCGGTGTCGTGCTGTCGGTGACACGGAGTCCGCGCTACGCTGTCGGTGTCGCGATGTCGCGCCCCCTCCCCTGGGCTCGGCTCTCCGGCAGGAGAAGAGGGCGCGTCCCAGGTTACCCGCTGTGTACTCGGACGCACCTCCTGTTTAATTAATAACGCCCAAAACGCCCCTCCAGGATTATCGTCACTGAGCTGGGCATGTGTTCCAGAGATTCCCGCGTTAATCACTCACATGTGCTTTGGTGTTTTTCATTTGATAACGGGATCATTATTTTAATGGTAATTTGCCATTGTAAGTAGTAATAGCGTCAACTAGTAAAGATGCAGAAAAATGACGTTTTGTGTAAAACTTTGGGAAACATATATTTAAGTCATTGCACAATTTTCATTTGATACAATCTGTACCATAAAAATAAATTCCAAAATAATCTGTGTGTTGCACACTGCCTCCAAGGGAACAAGTAAGAGGATATGTGCACTGTGTTTAGGGATGGGAACATAGCACAGTCTCTTAGGACTCAGCTGCTGGCCTCCTGCAAGCCTACATGGACGATTTATGTTGCTGTCACGGATTAAACCACACGTGCCACATGCTCCATATCAGCAACTTGAACACCCACCACCAAACACGATCAACAGCTACTTTCAGCAGCTGCATACTAATGTTAATGATAATTTTGCTTTTATAAGCTACAATGCAGTGTCTTCTGATCCTCAGGTACAATGGAAGTGTACTCAGATATAGGTCTGAAAGTGAGCAACAACAGTACAATTTGAATTTCCCAGCCTTTTGCTCCCTGCCTCAATCCAACAGCAAGCTTGGTTTGGTTCCACTGTTCATCCAGAATCAGTAACAGAGCAGTAAAAAGTCATCCTGTAAAGGGCAGCAAAAGAGGTCAAAAGTTGCCAGTGGATATGTATTTTTTTTTCTCCTTTCACAGCTTACACCCATTCTTTGGGAACTAAGGTGCACATTAGCAGATCTGCAGTGCCTGCCATGTTGTTCTTCCATAGTCAAACACTGAGAAATAAGCATCAATAGCAAAACCCTTTAATGGTTAGGCAGAACTTCTCACTTAAAAAAAATAAAATTCAATTTATAAGCTATTGTGGGAACAAATATTTCCAGCACCATGAATAAAACCAGAAAGCAAACATGGATGCTGCAGAGTTGGAATGACTTAGATGTGACATGGTGCTGTACACGAACATGCAGAGTACACCATTTATGAAGTAGTGTACTTCACCTTAGGAAGTGTAGCAGTGAGCAGGCTGTTTGCAACAAAAGAATTCACTTGTTCAGGGAAGGAAGTGCAGCACAGAGACATGTTTTCTTCTTGGGAAAGTGGAGGTCTAGGCCTCCAGGTGTGACACAGATCTTCCTCCAGCTCTCAGGAATGGAGAGGACACTATGCACAGTACAAAGTCACATGGAATAAAAAATGCATTAAACGGAAACCCTCTTCATTCATGAAAGAAGTGCCCTCCTCTGTCATGATTCCCACCTTGGAATGTTTTGAAAAAAAATGCATTCACAAGTTGTTGTGAACAACATCAAAACCACCATTAAACATTTGTTGATTGTTGTTTTTAAGGCATAACAGGTTATTCTGTATTTTGAATGTGATTCAGCTGTTGCTTTCAGGAGGAGTTAGAAAAGCAGTTACTGATCTCTGGTGGTCATGTTGACTTTAATTCAAGTAGATCTTCATAAAGAAAGACTTGTAATCTCACATCACTTCCTATCTGATTGACCTGCTGTTAGGTCCCCAAGGAAATGCATCAATGCACTAAAGACAGTGTAATTTCTAGTCACTCATTACATTTCTTAAAATCTATTCTACTTGGAATATTATCTTAGGCTCCCAAAATCTCTTAGATTCCTAGTTTTTCAACTGTCTCTCCCAGTCAGGACCACTTATGCATGTGCACAGTAGCAAAGACTGTCAGAGGAAGTTTTCTCCCCATTTTGCCTCTAGAAAGGAAGATACTTGAGCAGTAGAGAGTCTGAGTAGTACATGGTGCCTGAAGGGCCAGTCCACTCCTCTCCCACTGCTTTGTACTGCTTAGCCAGGTTTGGGACAGGACAGTAAGAACAGAAAGTGACCACTAGCTGTGGTTCACTAGTGTGGTATTCTCCTTTCCCAGAAAGGGAAGAGAAAAGATAATCTCAGATTTCACGAGCCCTATAGAAACTTCCCCTGAAACCATAAAATTCTCCCAGTCCTTTTGTCCTTATTTTTAGAAAAGCAACAGCCTGTTTCACCGTCACTGTCAAACAGCCCATTTCTTAGGTACACCATGTAATGACTCAGTCCTATAGGGACATGCAGTTTCATTTTGTAACCCTGAAAGGAATTGGTATCTACACATATCAGGCTCTGAATGTTACAACACCCCACGATCAGATGTTGCATTCAAATGGCATTTTTCTTGTGACTTCTTAAAAGAGAACTATCTAAGCCTTATATCTGTCCAGAAAGCAGGTATTGAGGAAACTGGACATAGTACCCTTAAACTTGGAAAGCCTGCCTGGTAAATACGGCTTGGTTTTCGTCTGGGTACAGACAAATGATGGCAGTTGCTTATTGGTTCATTTGAACAAGTAAAATCCTGTTCAATGCTGAATAGATGAGCATGTCCTGAGTGCTTTGCACTGAAGTGTCCGTCAGAATTCAACATTTATTATTAATAACTTATAAAAGATAAATGTCTGTTCTACATTTGCTGAAGGAGAACTCTTGGCTAATCAAGAGAAATCCCATTGTCCAAAGCCTAAATAAAATGTTCTCCTTCTAGACTGAAACCTATTCTTTCAGGTTAAATTTTATCTCCCAGCAGAGGATTATCAACTCAAAACATGTCATATGTTCATACTAGTCTTTTTTTTTTTTTTTTTTTTTTTTTTTAATCTGTTTTGAGGAGGAGATGTGTCTGGAAAACCAATATATTCCAATAACTCTTAATTGCTGGAAGACCCCCCAAGGATGACATTGGATCAAAGGCCTCCTGAGATTGTCTTAACGTTTGTGAAACGTTTGAAAACTTAAGGTGGTGTTATTACCTCAGGGTTAGCCCTCTTGAACGTCCAGATTTATGATGTACTTTGCAGGGCATTGATTGATATTGATTTACAAAGTCAGGGGTTTTCAGCATTTTTCACAGCCTGAGCCATGTTTCAGTTCTACCTCTACCATTCACAGCTGTGTGGTTGAATCTTCCCGTTCAGGACTGCATAGGTCCTCTCATATAACTGGAGCAATGGCCTGTAGAAAGAAGGTATATAGAGCAGAATTAATACACTCCAGAGTATTTAAACCATTTTAGCTGTGGGAAGAAAAAAACAGAGCCATTATTAGTTAGTTAGGTCTGCTTTAAGGAGAAATTCTTTTTGTAGCACACTCTTAATACCTGTTTACCTTACTGATTATTAGTAGTTGGCAAATTTTGATATAAATAATGTTGCAAGTTTTAACTACAGAGTTGACGGGATTGTAAGAGATGCTTTACAGGAATGCAGAAGATAAACTTTTTCTCTCCATATTCTAAACTTCTCCTTTACAGGAGAAAGGGAGAAACTATTTCTTGAGTGATCTTTGTCCTCTAGAGTACTTACCCAAGAAAGTTTTTTCTGAATTTATTTTTTAATAGTCTCAACAGCTCCTTTTGGTAGAGAGCAGGAGGCAATTGACAAAGTAGAGCTAATTTAGGCTGTAGAGCATTCTGTTTAACAGTCCATTGATTATTTTAACACCTGAGTCCTAGAAATAGATGACATTAGCCACAAACATCATACCATGTTCATACTAGGCAAGATCTGCCATGTATGCTAATATCATTGAGAACAGTAATGAAATTTGAATCAAAAATCATGATAATCCTTATAATGTAATTTTTGGGTCTTTAAGATCTGCTTTAAATAGCACAATGATTATATATGTAGGGTCTGCTACTACCATAGCCATTATACATCAAAATGGGATGTTGTCAAGAGGAAAAACATTCTGCTATAGCAGAAATTCAGCATGGCAAAGAGGTGTTCTCATTCCCATCCTAGCTATAGGATTCTGGTGCAAAGTGAGATCAAGACTCCAAGGAATCTTGCCAGAAAAGACTGGTAGAACTGCTCACATTCTGGATAACAAGCCCTATTGTCCAGCATTCAGGTTCTGCTGGTTACCTTCAGGATGATCTACAGCAGTGTAAACATGTTTTACCCTTCTATTAAACACAGCATGTTACAAGGTAGAAGATAATCTTGTATTTTTAAAATTAATCTTATATGTCAAAAATTATAATTTGTATATAAACTTATGCTTCCCTATTTTAATGTAACTTTTATTTGTATTTTATTGGCTAATAGAATTGTTAAAGTTGGAAAAGACCTCAAAGATCATTGAGTCCAACCATTAACCTTTGCAATGTAACTTGAGTGAAAGGAAGTCTTAAGTTCATGAATAGTTTCACTTTATGCTTCACATCTATTACACTGTGTGTGTCAGGATTGCCACATTCAGAGTGAACTCTCATATATTTAAAAAAATCACTATTATGTGTCTATCTAGTATTTTTCAGAAATGGATTTTTGAGGGAAAAGCTGTGATAAAACAATCCACTGATTTTTAATCATAGTAATTTTTATAAATGCACAGAAAATTCAGGACATTTAGAATGAATGTATCTCTTCATATATTACTTTAGAACATAAACTGTATTAACTAAGGTTTCCTACTCAGATGACTCATGATACTACTTAAGGCTGTGTTGCAAAAAACAGCTGATTCCTGAAATGGTCAGTCAGTTCACTGGATAACGCACATGTAGATTTTGAGTTTACAGAATATCACTGGATTAAATGAAAATAAATTCAGCAATGCTTTTTATTCCTACTAATAGTATTAAAACCCTTTTGAAGAGAAAACAGAGTTCAGCTGTAAGATGACACTATTAGCTGCACCAGTTAAAACACAACATCAGCAACCCAGTTATAAATACCTTTCATATGATACACAGCACAGACAGCAAAGAATTTGCCCATATTAGAGCAAATACTTTTTTTCAGAAGTATGCATAAATTTTGGTTGCTGAAGTTGAACAAATCTAAAATGGAGGGATGTTTTGTTAGTGGGCTCTTCTGGAAGTCCAGTCTTTTTGTGCAGTGGAAGTTGCAACACCAGATTCTTAGTTTTTGAACGGAAGTATCCAAGCCATTTTTGTTAGACTGTTTTGTTCTTCCTGTTTCTCAGAATCACATAAATGATCGTAGATAAGTCTTTTTGGGTAATATATTTTGGCTGTTCAAAATCTGAAAAGAGAAATAGGAATGGTAGCTGTTCAGTGCTCAAAAAACCCATAGGAATGAGTAATTCTTGTTTGAAGATTGAATTAGTGTTTTGGATAACTGATCCATTATGGCCATTTGTGCCATGTAAAGGGCAAAAGCAGGATACACATGTATCTGTCAGGACTGTGGCAGAGGGATTTTGCCTTCCTCCACCCTTTTCACAGAGACTATAGTTCTAGTTTATGATCCCTGGGGGAGAGAGGAGATGGGAGATAGGACTGTAGCCCATTAATACATGCAAGATTCATTTGCTTAATTGTAGATGATGTACCTCCCAGTTATAACTTTACATTCTCATACACTTGCAAATTGCTTTGGGCTCACAGCCTGAAAGGCAGTGTATAAATGAACAATATTCATTATCATCCAAAAGCTTTTCAGTCCAAACCACTCAGGAGAAAACCCGTGGAATCCTTTTCACTCTGGTACATGGGTTCTACACTCTAGGACCTGGTGCCAATCTGAATCCAGAGAAAAAGTTATTCTAATTCAGCTGACTACTGTCATGTTTTGCATGGCTCAGATAAGCTATTTTTAAGTGACTATAATTGATTTTGCTCATAGTTACAAAAGAGATCATATATTCTTATAATTCGTACCTGAAGTAGAGAAAGTCTGGACAACCTGCCATTTCTAAATTCTTGGAAAGGACTCTGTCCCTAATACTCAGACTTGATGAACATCCTGGTTCTCTGGCATGCCTGTATTCATTCCCATCTGTCATGCTGGCATTGTTCCCACTTGGAATTATCTGTGCCAATTTCAACAGGGCATAGGTGCTAACCAAACATGGTTTTAGAGGGACAGCTTTCACAACACAGCAAGTGCCATCTCTTTTGCCAGGAGATCCTGCTGTTTGCAAATAATTGCAGCTTAAGGCCACATGCCTCATTACCTAGGATCACATCTGTAGATGCTTGTGGGCACCATAAAAAAAAAAAATCAACAAATGTCTACTGTATTTCTCTTTCAGCTTGGCTTAATGCTCCGAATTTTGCACGTGGAGAATGAATGCTCTGCACCTTGTTAATAGGAGTGAGCCATAGGCTGTTATATGCTCTGAGCAGTCTTAACAGGTTGCTGCATCAAAGCTGGGACAACAGACAGCAGAAGTTTACCAGAGCTGCACTGCTTTTTCAGGTGGCTTTTGATTGCTTGGTGTCTGTGGTGTATTCTGAAGAGAGAATGATAGACCACTGCCTCTTTGCACCACATTTGGCTTTCCAGATTCTCAACATATTTGTGTAAAAGGCATATTCTGTCCCCACACAATTGTAAAGTGGCACATATGTATAACAAAATTATACTGCTTATTGAAATTTTTAGCTATATACAGCTCTATATGGTACATTACATTATTATCATATAGTAGATCATTAGTATCATCTTAGTATCACATTGATATATTATAGCTGCACTTGACTACTGTTTTGCCCCACTGAACACATTAGGTGCGTTAGCAGAATTACTCTGTACTGTATAAGGCTAGAAATGGCTTAGAAATGGCTTAGGAAAGAGCAAAACCTGTTCACAAACCTCAGCTCGACCACAACCCATGCTCAAATTTTAAAATATAATTTTGTAGTTAAGCAAAAGAATATTTTGCCCAGAATATTTCTTGAAAACTACGATTTGAAATAAAGTAAGATCCAGGGTACAAAATTTCCAGCCATATTTATCTAGTCATAATTAGACATTGCACTGTTTAGCCAAGATCTGTGGAAAATAAATGAAAAAATGCATTTCCCTTGACACCCATAATGTTTTGACAGTTCTACACTCACAGTATAGCACTAGGAAGGACCATGCTCATATGCTGTGCAAAAAATGCATTCTTGCAAATTGTGAAAGGTATTTTCAGTCATTCCCTTTATTAGCAAACACACCTAAGGCTGTTTTTAGTTATATTTTACCTCTCTCTAAAGGAATGATGAATTTAAGAAAGTTCAGAAGAGTTAGATGTTTTTTAGAGTCCTAACATTTTCAAGGATGCAGACTGACAAATAGACACATGAATATACTGAAAAATTCTGTTGGGAATCAAGGTCTAGAATTACCAAACATTTATGCTGAGTGTACATTTCAGAATAGTAGTGTGCATATTTCTGATAATTTTGTTGTCGTTTAGCGTGTTTATGCACTTGGGTACAGTTGACAAGCATACAGTTGTGAAGCATACTTAATGTGCTTCTCCTATGCTATTGAAAAGCCCAACTTCAAAATACTATACTGAGCTCAAGAAACAAAAAATAACCAGCCTAATTTCACAGTACATTACTATATCAATTGTTACAAACCTTTACCTCTTCTCACCTGTCTCGTGTCCTTAGTCTTTTTGGCAGCTAACCTGACCTCGTGGACTGTCAGCACTGATTTGTTTTCCATACCACTTGGACTCAGAGATATTCTTTGTGGTTTTTCTTCCTTTTTTTTTTTACCTTCTCCTGTCTCCTAAAAGTGCTCCCTCATAATAACTGTGTACCTTAGAAATCACCTGTTCCTCAAGGGCAGTGGAGTGGCAGAAGAGGGGTCTGTTATTAGTGCCACAGAATAAAACAAACCTCAAGGCAGATGCTTGAGGGGGTTTTCCAACCCAATAGCTCATGAGGGGTGGAAAGAAGGTTCTACTCCAGCACAGTCAGACCAGGAGATGCCTCATATTGGGGCTATTGGGGTTTTGGGTGAGTGTTGTTTTGATTGTTTCTTACCAGTCACAACAGCAGAGTTATAAGGCTGCCTGGTCAGAGCCTTAGCTACGATATGTTGCAGTGAACAGCCAGTCCCTTAGCTCTCTATACAAACCTCAATTTTTTCCCATAAAATATGAAGTCAGACATGGTACTCTTGCTAGGGAGTACCTAACAGTGGCACTGCCAGGGCAGGCAGTTGAGTAGTTGTGAAAAATGACCAGTGCGTGTTTAG